GCTTGCCGAGTGTGCTGCTGCATGTTCTAACTCAATAGTCCAGAAATATATCGATTATCAAAAGTAAATGGCTCTGCGCTGCCTGCAGGCATCACGCATCCCAGAGTGATCTATTTAGCAGCAACGTCGAAATGTTACACAGCAGATTTCTCCTCTTGTTATTCCACATGTAAATTGTTTGTTTCCCATAACTAACATGGAGATATTTCATAACAACTCCACCTTCCCTTAACTACAGCACTGATTTAAATACCAGAGGGAGTCAAACAAACTCAGGTTACACTGCGAGAGGCTCACTCCTTCCGTGCAGTGGTGTCTGCGCACCCCCAGCGCTGAAGCCCTCGCTTCTCAGAAATTAGCCCAGCTCTCCCCTCGGTGAGGCGAGCAGCTCCTTGCCCTCCCTGCCTTCTGCACAGCCCCTGCTCTTGCCAGTATTAGCTGCAGCAGTGTCCCTGAAGGGTTGGCTGAGGACACACCAGTGTGTAAAATGAAGGCTGGAGATCCTTTTGTCTCCTATCCTGGAGCTGTGTTTGTGGTGATTGGAAATTTTTTTTTTCTCCTTTCCAGCTTACTGTCCCTATCAGTAAATGAGATAGTGCTTAACCAGCTGACAGCAACTCTGCCCGGTCTGGTAAGCCTGAAGATTGTCCTCCTTTTGTAGCTGAAACACAAAAATATCAGGAACAAGGTCACAGCAAGCTGCACCGTCTTTCTGTGTTGCTTTCCCACGTCACTGGCACGTGCCGCTCGGCAGGGATGCCCGTGGCCAGCCTGGCTGCTGCGTGTGTTCCTGCCCGCAGGGCGATGCCTGGAATATTCTCCAGGTCAAAGCAGTCCCTTTTGGTGCGGTACCAGAGCTCCAGGGATGCTCCACTGCCCCCAACTCCTTCACAGCATCCCAGGTGCTGCCTAGTGCCGCACAGCACTTTTTCCCTGGGGATTTAGATTAAAAAGAGTGGGTGTGATGAGGCTGTAGGGTGACGGTTCCCTGCGGCGGTGGTGAGGGGGGTTGAGCGGTCGCATTTCTGCTTTGTGTTGCAGCTGTGCCCAGTAGTTGATATTGTGGTCAACCTTGTGAACATCCAGCTCCTGGGCACTCTCAACGGTGCGTTTCTTCGCACAGCACTTTTTCCCTGGGGATTTAGATTAAAAAGAGTGGGTGTGATGAGGCTGTAGGGTGACGGTTCCCTGCGGCGGTGGTGAGGGGGGTTGAGCGGTCGCATTTCTGCTTTGTGTTGCAGCTGTGCCCAGTAGTTGATATTGTGGTCAACCTTGTGAACATCCAGCTCCTGGGCACTCTCAACGGTGCGTTTCTTGCGGA